GATTACAAATACTTTAAGATAAGTAATGAATTTACTGTGAATGTATTTTACTTTGTGTGTTTTTAATGCCTAGTTCTATTACTAACTTAATATAATTTAGTGTATACCTGTTGTCTGGCATTTATATGCATTTATAAATGGAAAAAAATGGCGTTCTGCCTTCCAGCGATGTCTGCTTTCCGGCAACAGCCTGGAACCTAACCTGCCGTATAAGTGGGGCCCTACTGTACATATAAAAATACACAATATCTCTCTCCAAACTGCCAATATCCCAAACCCCTACTTTAGAGTGCAGGCATTGTACTTCCCATTTCCAGGACTCAAGTCCGGTTATATAAAATAACCGGTTTCCCTGAATCCCTTCACTAAATATTACCCTGCTCACACTCCAACAAATCATCAGGTCCCAAATACCATTTGTCTCCATTCACTCCTATCTAACACGCTCACGCACGCTTGCTGGAAGTCCAAACCCCTCGCGCACAACACCTCCTTTACCCCCTCCCTCCAACCTTTTCGAGGACGACCTCTACCCCGCCTTCCTTCCCCTACAGATTTACACGCTCTCCGTGTCATTCTACTTTGATCCATTCTCTCTAAATGAACAAACCACCTCAACAAACCCTCTTCAGCCCTCTGACTAATAATTTTATTAACTCCACACCTTCTCCTAATTTCCACACTCCGAATTTTCTGCATAAAATTTACACCACACATTGCTCTTAGACAGGGCATCTCCACTGCCTCCAACCGCCTCCTTGCTGCAGCATTTACAACCCAAGCTTCACAACTATATAAGAGTGTTGGTACTACTATACTTTCATACATTCCCTTCTTTGCCTCCATGGGTAACATTTTTTGCCTCCACATATACCTCAATGCACCACTCACCTTTTTTCCTTCATCAAATCTATGATTAACCTCATCCTTCATAAATCCATCCGCTGACACGTCAACTCCCAAATATCTGAAAACATTCACTTCTTCCATACTCCTCCTCCCCAATTTGATATCCAATTTTTCTTTATTTAAATCATTTGATACTCTCATCACCTTACTCTTTTCTATGTTCACTTTCAACTTTCTACCTTTCCACACATTCCCAAATTCGTCCACTAACCTTTGCAATTTTTCTTTAGAATCTCCCATAAGCACAGTATCATCAGCAAAAAGTAACCGTGTCACTTCCCATTTTGTATTTAATTCCCCATATGTAAAGTAAAAGGACACAAGTGCAACTAATGTGACATTTTATTGTGGCAACGGTTCACTCTCCAGGAGCTTTATCAAGCCGTTACAAACAGTACATGGACACAGAGGGTATATATAGGCTCAGAGTGAGGTGCAATACTAGTGGTAGTAGTAGAAGTAATACAATATGTAGAACAATTAACTTGCACATGAGTAAACAATATAAAGGCTATTACTTGGGAAACATAAAAATTGGTTAGACAAATATTTCTATTGGAAGCTGGATAGAGAAGGCCTGTTTCAATGTTCCTTCTCTGTAATGTGCTTGTGTAGTATTTAATCCCACCCCTCTCTCAAACACCCTAGCATGTACTTCTTTTACAACCCCATCTATAAATATATTAAACAACCATGGTGACATTACACATCCCTGTCTAAGACCTACTTTTACCGGGAAGTAGTCTCCCTCTCTTCTACACACCCTAACCTGAGCCTCACTATCCTCATAAAAACTCTTTACAGCATTTAGTAACTTACCACCTATTCTATATACTTGCAACATCTGCCACAATGCTCCCCTATCCACTCTATCATATTCTTCTTTCAACACACTGGCCATATCCCACCGAGGCGGGGTGGCCCAAAAGGAAAAACGAAAGTTTCTCCTTTTACATTTAGTAATATATACAGGAGAAGGGGTTACTAGCCCCTTGCTCCTGGCATTTTAGTCGCCTCTTACAACACGCATGGCTTACAGAGGAAGAATTCTGATCCACTTCCCCATGGAGATAAGAGGAAATAGACAAGAACAAGAACTAGAAAGAAAATAGAAGAAAACCCAGAGGGGTATGTATATATATGCTTGTGAACATTAAAATGGTATAAAATACCGACAGGTTGTTAGGTAAGACACATATGCAACAGTTAGGTATCTTTATTATGAAACGTTTCGCCTACACAGTAGGCTTCTTCAGTCGAGTACAGAAAAGTTGATAGAAGCAGAAGATACTTGAAGACGATGTAATCAGTCCATCACCCTTAAAGTTTTGAGGTGGTCAGTCCCTCAGTCTGGAGAAGAGCATTGTACATGTATGTGCAGTGTGACCTAAGTGTAAGTACAAGTAGCAAGACGTACCTGAAATCTTGCACGTTTATGAAACAGAAAAAAGGACACCAGCAATCCTACCATCATGTAAAACAATTACAGGCTTTCGTTTTACACTCACTTGGCAGGATGGTAGTACCTCCTTGGGCGGTTGCTGTCTACCAACCTACTACCTAGTACTATCATATGCCTTTTCTAAATCCACAAATGCAATAAAAACTTCCCTACCTTTATCTAAATACTCACATATATGCTTCAATGTAAACACTTGATCTACACATCCCCTACCCACTCTAAAACCTCCTTGCTCATCCGCAATTCTACATTCTGTCTTACCTATAATTCTTTCAATAATAACCCTACCGTACACTTTTCCTAGTATACTCAGTAAACTTAATCCTCTATAATTTTTACAATCTCTTTTGTCCCCCTTTCCTTTATATAAAGGGACTATACATGCTCTCTGCCAATCCCTAGGTACCTTTCCCTCTTTCATACATTTATTATACAAAAATACCAACCACTTCAACACTGTGCCCCCCTGCTTTTAACATTTCTGTCATGATCCCGTCAGTTCCAGCTGCTTTACCCCCTTTCATTCTACGTAATGCCTCACGCACCTCATCCACACTCACATCCTGCTCTTCTTCACTCCTAAAAGATGATATACCTCCCTGGCCAGTGCATGAAATTACCGCCTCCCTTTCTTCGTCGACATTTAAAAATTCCTCAAAATATTCTCGCCATCTACATATGTATATATGTACATATGTATATATATTATAGAACAATCGTAATAAACAATTTTTTATATTGTTTATTAGTGTAAACAAGTTTTATGAACATTATGATGATACTAGTGTTTTTGCTATAATTGTGTTACATTCAACAAGTGTATATATGAACATTGCACCATACTTTGGTCTCACAGGCCACAAAAGTTATGTGAAAAAATAAAATAGTGAAAAAAAACAAGAAACCGTTGAATAAAAGTAAACCAAAGTTTACTGGGTTAGCGGCAGTCGCCGCTGTTCCTCATTTTCTGCAAACTTCACGCCTCTATATCTCGGTAAGTACTGATGGGATTTTTTTTTTTTTTTGGACTAAAACAATCAGAAAAAATAGCTTTTTTTTCGAATATTTTGCGACAACAGGACACACTTCAGGATTGGGCCTTTCGACAGTCAAAGGGTTAGAGGAGGGGCTTAGGATATTGGCAGTTTGGAGGGATGTGTTGTATATCTTTATACGTATATGCTTCTAAACTATTGTGTTCTGGGCACCTCTGCAAAAACAGTGATTATGTATGAATGAGGTGAAAGTGTTGAATAATGATGAAAGGATTTTCATTTTGGGGATTTTCTTTCTTTTTGGGTCACTCTGCCTCGGTGGGAGACGGCCAACTTGTTAAAAAAAAAAAATTAAATTAAAGCAGTCCAGAAAGATAAAATACACGTACAGCACACTCATTATTTACCTTACAATATGTGTAGTCTTAATGTAGGATGAGAGGTAAAAAGTATTTATTTGTAGGAAGTGAGGCGTGGGTAGCCGGTAGATGTAGGTATGTACCCCTCAAGGAAGGCTCCTTGATGCTGGTGAGGGGCTCTTGATCTAGGGAATTGGATCTGTGCTCCAGTTCCCTGAATTAAACCTGAATACCTTCCACATCCCCCCACAAGTGCTGTATAATCTTACAGGCTTAGTGCTCTTCCCTTGATTATAATAATAATGTAGGTATGCAGTCCGCCTGGGCTACATACCTACACCAACCTACATAGCTACACAATATTTAAAGTAGCCCAAGGCCATATTATTACCATCGACATACCATGTTCACTGAGTTTAATCGTTTCTAACAACTAACTTTAGATACCACCATAAACGAAGGGGGTAAGTAATGAATAACTCATGCCAAGAATTGTAAACAAAAGCGTTGTGTGTTAAGGGGAGTGACTGGGCCAATACAGATTCATAGATGTTTTCTTTGGTGCTGGACCAGAGAAAACGTAACGTTTTCCATCCACCCGTCTACCACCCCTCCACAGCATATAAACATAGCATGTTTCTTATATAATTTTCAAGAAAATATCAAAGATGAATTAATGAAAATGTCTATATTAATGTAAAGTAAGACATTTTGTGTGCCCAAGAGTGATTATTATTTCATATTATTTTTATTACTTAGTGATTTTAATGTGTACCTGCATGCCAGTACAGTGTGTAAATATATTTAGGTGCAGGTACACATAAGTATAATTACCAGAGTACACATAAAATATGCAATAACTTTAAAACACTTGAAATTTTGGAAAGTTTTCAGACACAAGAGAGAGATGTGCTCACAGAGAATGTAAACAAACCAGGTGGGGCGCGCTGTATTAGAAAGATCGCTCGTCGTATATAGAGTTTTGGTTATAATTTGAAATTGCTGTATTAGCGGAATGCCATAGAGTGGAGCCCTACTGTATAGAGAGTGGATTTCCTCTTAAAAAACACTGCTGGTATTACTAAAATAGTGAGCTGGTCTGTGACTGGCCATAGCATAATGCCAAAGAATGTTTTGCTATTTCAACAACATTTTTTTTTTACCAACAGAATTTTTAAATCATCTATTTAAAATTTTACCTACTAAAATAGATCCTAGCTCCAATTCTTTTCAATTGGTGGTGTTCAACTGTGCCTGCAATCCAAAAGCACTTACTTAAAAATTCTGGAGCTCCTGAAGAAGGATTCCTCGTAATCTTTGATACCTTGAATGGAGTCGTCCTTATTCCCTCGACCTGTGACCACAGCAAAGTAGCCTAAAGCTCGCATAGGAAACAATTTTCCTGAGAGTATTTTTCTTATCTGAAAAATTACAAATTTACAATATCAAGTATATATATATATATAAAAAAAAAAAAAAAGGCATTAGCTAAAAGTTGAAGTTTTTTCCATTTCCAAACTCTTGTATGAATGTACATAACAAACAAGGGTTGTAGTACAGATCTCCCTTGTTTTATGCAAGAGATGTGCTGCTAATCCAAAGTGAATACAAACCTATTATAACATGTAAAACAAGGATACATTCCAAGAGTTTGCAAATTACACATTTCTTGATCTCCCTTGTTTTATGCAAGAGATGTGCTGCTAATCCAAAGTGAATACAAACCTATTATAACATGTAAAACAAGGATACATTCCAAGAGTTTGCAAATTACACATTTCTTGACTAATGTTCAGTGAAGGAGACAGAGAGCTTACCATATATCACTAATTGTTCATATACAAAATAGAAATTAATCTGGCTGAAAAACAAGAGAAAAACTTATATAAAAAGTTCAATCATAATCACCCTTCTTTCTTACCCCAAGTCTAATACAGTGGAACCTCAAAAATCGAACGTATCACATATCGAACGTTTCGAAAATAGGACCATTTTTTCGGACAAACTGTGTCCCTATTATCGAACGCACCCCTATTTTCGGACTGCCGGGTACGGGACATGTCCGCGGGCCCGCTCTGTCCTCGTCCTCGTGCAGGCGCCGTAAGCAGTCTAGCTTTGTTTATGCTTGAGTGAACACTAACCTGCACTCTCATTCACACACGTTGTGTTTAGTGCTTGTGGGACTGGGAAATAAGCTGCCATGGGCCCAAAGAAACTTGCTAGTGGTACCCCTGTGGTAAAGAAAGTGAGAAACACCATAGATGTGAAGAAGGAAATAATACAGAAGTAAGAGAGTGGTGTGAGACTTGTTGAGCTTGCCAGGATGTATGGGAAAACAAATCGACCATCGGTTCTATCCTGTCAAAGAAAGAACAAATCAAGGAAGCTGATGTTGCGAAAGGTGTTAAAATGCTAACCACAAAAAGACCACAAATAGTTGAAGAGGTTGAGAAGTTATTGCTGGTGTGGATCAAGGATAAAGAGATTGCAGGTGATAGTGTTTCAGAGACGATTATTTGCGAAAAGGCAAGGAAGTTGCATGCCGATGTGGTACAGAATACTCCTGGAACCAGTGCTGATAGTGAATTTAAGGCCAGCAGAGGCTGGTTTGACAGATTTAAGAAGTGTAGTGGCATACACAATGTTGTAAGACATGGTGAGGCAGCCAGTTCAGACAAACAGGCGGCTGAGAAGTTTGTACAGGAGTTTAAGGGGTACATAGACAGTGAAGAATTGAAACCTGAACAAGTGTTTAATTGTGACAAAACAGGCTTGTTTTGGAAGAAAATGCCAAAAAGGACCTTCATCACACAGGAGGAAAAGGCACTGCCATGACACAAGCCTATGAAAGACAGGCTTACTCTTTTGTTCTGTGCTAATGCAAGTGGTGATTTTAAAGTGAAGCCTTTACTTGTGTATCATTCAGAAAATCCCAGAGTGTTTAAGAAAAACAATGTCTTTAAGAACAAGTTATGTGTCTTGTGGAAAGCTAATCATAAGGCATGGGTCACAAGACAAATTTTCAAAGAGTGGGTCTATGAAGTGTTTGGCCTTAGTGTGAAAAAATACCTCCAGGAAAAGAAAAAGCCACTCAAGTGCCTCCTGTTAATGGACAATGCTCCTGCTCATCCTCCAAACTTATTAGACCTCTTGTCTAAGGACTTCAGTTTTATAAAAGTGAAGTTCTTGCCTCCTAACACCACTCCTCTCCTCCAGCCCATGGACCAGCAGGTCATTTCTAACTTCAAAAAACTCTACACAAAAGCAGTGTTTGAAAAGTGCTTTGAAGTGACCACAGACACTAAGTTGACCCTAAGAGAGTTCTGGAGGAATCACTTCAACATCTACAGCTCCATAAACCTTATAGGTAAGGCTTGTGAGGGAGTGACTTCCAGGACTTTGAACTCTGCTTGGAGACAATTGCCGCCAGATTGTGTCCAAAAGAGGGATTTTGAAGGGTTTGAGGCTGACCCAGCTCACCCTCTGCCTGTTGTGGACTCTATTGTGGCATTGGGGAACACCCTGGGGTTGGAGGTGAGTGGTGAGGATGTGGAAGAGTTGGTGGAGGACCACAGGGAAAAGCTAACCACTGAAGAGCTGCAAGAGCTTCATCTGGAGCAGTATCAGACCACAGCTGAGGAACTTGCCTCAGAGGAGGAGGAAGAGGGAGTGGATGAGGTGCCTTCTTCAAAGATTAAGGAGATTTGTGCCAAGTGGAATGATGTCCAAATGTTTGTGCAGAAGTACCACCCTGAGCAAGCTGAAACAAGCCATCTTTGCAACAAGTTCAGTGACAGAACCATGTCCCATTTTAGGGAAATGTTGAAGAGGCACCAGAAACAGAGGACTGTGGACAGTTATTTTGTGAGACAGGGGTCCAGTGACTCTCAAGCTGGTCCTAGTGGCATTAAAAGACAGAGAAGGGAAGCAATCCCAGAGAGGGCTTTACCTGAAGTCCTCATGGCGGAGGATTTTCCTTCCAAACACTAACCCCAACTCCCTCTCTCCTCCTCCCTATCTTCCAGATGCTATCACCAATCTTCAATAAAGGTAAGTAAAAATGTTATTTTATATGTATTACTATACATAATTAAAAGCTATAGTATTTGTTGTATGTAAAACTGTAATTAATCTCTATAAAATGTATTTTTTGTGTGAATATTTTTGGGTTTCTGGAACGGATTAACTGTATTTCCATTATTTCTTATGGGAAATATTGCTTCGAATTTCAGACTTTTCGAATTTAGAACTAGCTCCTGGAACGGATTAAGTTCGATTTATGAGGTTCCATTGTACTAGACAAACTGAAATTAACTGCCTGTACTGAATATACAGTGACGGAATGAATAATGGAAAGTATTTTTCTGTTTTTGGTTCACTCTACCTTTGCAGGAAAAGGCCAATTAGGAAAAAAAAAAATCTGGTATTTTTATCCGTATTCAAGTAGATTTATCAGAGTTGAGTAAAAGTTTTATATTCCTACCATTAAATTAAATTTCACTGTATGGTATTTTGTTCAGTTTTTTTTATTAACACATCGACCATCTCCCACCAAGGCAGGGTGGCCCGAAAAAGAAAAACTTTCACCATCATTCACTCCATCACTGTCTTGCCAGAGGCATGCTTACACTACAGTTATAAAACTGCAACATTAACACCCCTCCTTCAGAGTGCAGGCACTGTACTTCCCATCTCCAGGGCTGAAGTCCGGCCTGCCAGTTTCCCTGAATCCCTTCACAAATGTTACCTTGCTCACACTCCAACAGCATGTCAAGTCCTAAAAACCATTTGCCTCCATTCGCTCTTATCTAACACATTTATGCATGCTTGCTGGAAGTCCACACCCCTTGCACACAAAACCTCCTTTACCCCCTCCCTCCAACCTGTCCTAGGCAGACCCCTACCCCACCTTCCCTTCACTACAGATTTATACACTCTCAAAGTCATTTTATTTTGTTCCAGCCTCTCTACATGTCTAAACCACCTCAACAACCCCTCCTCAGCCCTCTGGATAATAGATTTGGTAATTCCACACCTCCTCCTAATTTCCAAAATATGAATTCTGTGCATTATAATCACACCACACATTGCCCTCAGACATGACATCTCCACTGCCTCCAGCCTTCTCCTTGTTGCAACATTCACCATCCATGCTTCACACCCATGTAAGAGCATTGGTATAACTATACTTTCATACATTCTCCTCTTGCCTTCCATGGACAAAGTTCTCACAAACTCCTAAGTGCACCACTCACCTTTTGCCCCTCATCAATCCTATGATTCATCTCATCTTTCATGGACCCATCTGCTGACATGTCCACTCCTAAATATCTGAATACATTCACCTCCTCCAAACTCTCTCCCTCCAGTCTGATATCCAATCTTTCATTATTCTCATTACCTTACTCTTTCCTATATTCACTTTTAATTTTCTTCTTTTACATACTCTACCAAACTCATCCACCAACCTCTGCAACTTCCCTTCAGAATATCCCAAAAACCACAGTGTCATCAACAAAGAGCAACTGTTACAACTCCCACTTTGTGTTAGATTCTTTATCTTATAACCCCACACCTCTTGCCAACACGCAAGCATTCACTTCTCTTACAACTCCATCTATAAATATATTCAACAACCATAGTGACATCACACATCCTTGTCTAAGACTTACTTTTACTGGGAAATAATCTCCCTCTCTCCCACATACTCTAACCTGAGCCTCACTATCCTCGTAAAAAATTTTCACTGCTCTCAGTAACCTACCTCCTATTCCATACATCTGCAACATCTGCCACATTGCCCCCCTATTCAGCCTGTCATATGCCTTTTCCAAATCCATAAATGCCACAAAAACCTCTGGATCAAAGGTATATTATACTGACATCTGGTGAATAAGACATGTATGCAACAACTGCATATCTTTATTACTTACAATGCACTTACTGAGGACTTTATCAACCTAATACAGAGCCCTGTCCATTCACATGTGACCACTACCACTACTACTTCATCACACTACTACTTACACCTCTCTAGTTCCTCTATATAATACCCCATTTTCATATCTCTGTACTAGATTGATAAAGCCCCCAGTGTGTGAAATATTTTACAAATAAAGATATCCAGGCATTGCCCATGTCTTTATTCACAAACAAGATATAGGACTGAATATGCTTTTATTATATGACTTGAATTAATATGAAAATTCCTCTGCTCATTACATCAGTTGATATACACACATACGCAGTAAACTGCATGTATTATTAATAAGCTAAATAAATGAAAAGACAAATAAATTTGTTCTTCTTACCCTGTCTGGATTGGTAAGATTTTCTTCGGCAAGGTCAACTTTTGTAAGCACGAATATGGTTCTTTTGCCCTGGGGGTCCATCTGACTAACAAGATCAGTGACATTGGATCGCTCAGCATCCACAGAACCATCTTGAATACACAAAATGATAGCATTGGGGTTGGACATGTATTGTTGAGAGATGGACCTGATGGCTTCTCTGGTGTCTGTTGCCATGTCTGTTGTTACTGTCTGAAAAAAGATCACACAAGTCAAACTACAAAAAAATTTAAATTATAAAAAGGCATATAATACAAGGTACCCTAACTATAAAATGTTTATAAACATATGATGGTGCTTTGTGAAAGAGAGAGAATGGACAACATGCATTATCTATCATCAGTTTTAATACAACTCCACCTAAATGAGGTTGAACAAGTGCACTGTCTCTCCAGGAAACAAATATATATAACAACTGTGTAATATATTGTTCTTCATAACTTTATATGTATGCCATATAACTTAAACCATTTTTTTTTATTACCCTGCCTCAGTGGGAGAAGGTCAGTGTGATTATATGATTATGTATGAGTGAGGTGAAAGTGTTGAATAATGATGAGAGTATTTTCTTTTTAGGGATTTTCTGTTTAGGTCACCCTGCCTTGGTGGGAGATGGCCAACTTGTTGAAAAAAATATATTATATATACGTACAGTGGAACCTTGACTTACGAGTTTAATCTGTTCCGTGACCTAGCTCGTAACTCAATTTACTCATATATCAAATCAATTTTCCAAATTTAAATTAACTGAAAAGCCATTAATCCGTTCCTGCACTCTGGAGAATAGACAAAATACAGTGGACCCCCCCCGAGTTTCATGATTAATCCATTCCAGAGAGCCTGCCGAAAGTCGAAATTCATGAAACTCGAAACCATTTTCCCCATTAGAAATAATGGAAATAAAATTAATCCGTTCCAGACACCCAAAAATATTAAAATAATTTTTTTTTCAAATTAAATAAAGATTTACATACTGAAAACAATCAGAAATCAAGTACATGCATATAAAAAATAATAACATTACACGTACCTTTACTGAAGACTTCTGGGTGGATGGAAGATGGGAGGAGGGGATAAGAGGAAGGTGTACACTAATGTTTGGAAGGAGAATCTCCTTCCATTAGGACTTCAGGTAGCAAGTCCTTTTCTGGGGTTACTTCCCTTCTTCTTTTAATGCCACTGGGAACAACTTGAGAGTCACTGGACCCCTGTTGCACAAAATATCTGTCCAGAGAGGTCTGTTTCTGTCATTTCTTTATGATTTGCCTGAAGTGGGACAAGGTTTTGTCACTGAACATGTTGCAGATATGGCTTGTTTCAGCTTGGTCAGGGTGATACTTTTCAACAAAACTTTGCAACTCATTCCACTTTGAACACATGTCCTTAATCACCGAAGAAGGCACCTCCTTCACTCTCTTTTCCTCCTCCTGTGAAGCAAGTTCCTCAGCTGTGGTCTGATGCTGTTCCAGTTGAAGCTCTTGCAGTTCATCAGTGGTTAGCTCTTCCCTGTGGTCCGCCACCAACTCTTCCACATCCCCGTCACTCACCTCCAACCCCATGGACGTGCCCAATGCCACAACACCTTCCACAACAGGCAGAGGGTTGGCAGGGTCAGGGTCTGCCTCAAACCCTCCAAAATCCCTCTGGAACATGTTCTTCGCTTTCTTTACCAAAGGGCTTGCACTAGCTTTCCTTAGGCCCATGGTGACTTATTTAGCAGTTGCAATCACAAAAAAACAATGGATTATTATATATGAACCCGCAGGGTGATGGTCACGTGTTGGTAAACAATGGCACACTGAGCGTGAATGGCGTGGGAGACTGGCTTTGTGTGCACGGTGATGGGCGGACGGGTACTGGACAGTCCCCGAATAACGAGTCTAATCACGAAACTCAAGGCCAAATTTTGCTGAAAAAACTTGCCGAAAGTCGAATTTCACGAAAGTCGATGCTGCCAAAACTCGAGGGTCCACTGCACTTGAATATGACACTAATATCAACTGTACAGCTTATTTATCTATCACAATTCATCTAATATGACATAATAAACAATATAATTAACACAGAAACATGATATATACTTTAGAATGAATAAAATAGGCCATATGGTGGCAGAGGCAGCACTGGAAGCATCCGCTATTTACTCTCTAACTTTGACTATAGCATCTTCCCTATGCTCTTATTGTATGAGAAAACGGAGTACAGGTACCATCCAACTTACGACCAAGCTTGGTTCCAACCAACCAGTCGTAAGTCAAAATGGACGTAAGTCGAACCTTTGAAAATTGCCGACATACTGGGTAGGACATAATGTCAAACCTTTCCTATATAAACTACCTACATAGTACTGTAATGTACAATCATTATTTCATTCTTTTTACCATAATTTACTTCTACTGTTATATTTTAATTATTTATGTACTGTATATAATGTGGCCTGTATATAATGGTGGCCTGGTGGTTAACGCTCTCGCTTCACACGGCGAGGGCCTGGGTTCGATTCCCAGCCAGAGTAGAAACATTGGACGTGTTTCTTTCCACCTGTTGTCTATGTTCCCCATCAGTAAAATGGGTACTTGGGTGTTAGTCGACTGGTGTGGGTCGCATCCTGGGACACTGACCTAAGGAGGCCTGGTCACAGACCGGGCCGCGGGGGCGTTGACCCCCGGAACTCTCTCCAGGTAAACTCCAGGTATACATGGTAGTGAACTGTACTGTAAATTTTACATAGCATACAGTATCATATGTTACTGTTATCTTTATGTATTGTCGACACAGTGGAATGGGAGAATACCACTGGTAGTGTCATCCTGCCAGAATGTAGTATAACCTATACCCTAAGCAAAGAGAAACAACTCTGGAACATGTGTAATACATATCCGGCTGGCTGGCTGGCCAGGTGGGTGGGCAGTTGGCTGACTGGCTGACTGAATGTGGCTCTCTCTCTCTCTGTATCTCTATCTCTCTCTCTCTCTGTATCTCTATCTCTCTCTCTCTCTCACAGGTACACATAAGTAAAGTTATCATACATAGTATAAATTACCTAGGATAACCCAAAGAATCCAAAGTGCTATACAGTGGATCTGTGCTCCAGTGCCCTAAATTAATAATAATATTAATAATTATTATTATTACAATAATATATATGTACTAATATTAATAATAATATTATTATTAAACTTTTTTTTTTCAACAAGTCGGCCGTCTCCCACCGAGGCAGGGTGACCCAAAAAAGAAAGAAAATCCCCAAAAAGAAAATACTTTCATCATTCAACACTTTCACCACACTCACACATTATAACTGTTTTTGCAGAGGTGCTCAGAATACAACAGTTTAGAAGCATACACATATAAAGATACACAACATATCCCTCCAAAATGCCAATATTATTAAACTATAATATAATAATCGTGTCCACTCATTACTTACCTTAAAATATCTGTAGTCTTAATGTAGAGTGAGAGGTGAGTAAACAAGATTAAATGAATAAACGAAAGAGAAATGAGTGTAGAAGATTCACGAGTTATGTAAACAAACGTTGTTGTTGTTACCAGCCCGGACACGAATGGTTTTTGTTCACTCTGTCAAGCCGACCAGAAAAACATCTCATATTTGTTAATTTATATGTTTATATGTTATGTAGCATGTTTATTACATAATTTTGAAAAAATCATAGATGAATTAAGCAAAATGTCTATATTAACGTTTTATGCACATTTAATGCACCTCAGTGATTATCATTGTATTACTATCACACAGATACAGACAGACACAGATATACAGGCAGACAGATACAGACAGGTCTATGTGCAACAGTGAAAACAAACAGAGCTTGAGAGTAAGAGCCTTTCTTGCCACAATCTCCAGTGCAAGATTCAGATTTCATCTTAGGGTCCATGGTGAAATTTACTGTCAGGTTACTACAGTTAATACAGTGGACCCTCACATAGCGCTATTAATCCGTTCCTGAGAGCTCAATGTTATGCGAAATTATCGTTAGGCGAAAGAATTTTCCCCATAAGAAATAATGGAAATCAAATTAATCCGTTCCTAACACCCAAAAGTATGAAAAAAATTTTTTTTACCACATGAAATATTAATTTTAATACACACAAACTGAAGAAGGCATGCACTGTTACATGACACTTACCTTTATTGAAGATCTGGTGATGATTGATGGGATGGGAGGAGGGGAGAGTGTTGATCTTCCTAGTGTTTAGAAGGGGAATCCCCTTCCATTGGGACTTGAGGTGTCAAGTCCTTTTCCGGGGTTACTTCCCCGGAAAAGGAGAAGGACCAGCTTCAGTCACTGGACTTCTGTCGCACAACATATCTGTCCATAGAGGTCTGTACCTCTCGTTCCTTTATGACTTTCTTAAAGTGGTTCACAACATTGTCAATGTAATAAGTCACTTGCATGGCTTGCAGCAGCTGTCTGAGGGTGATTTTCATCCATAAAGGTTTGCACTTTAAGCCACATTGCACAGATTTCCTTAATCTTCGAAGTAGGCAACTTCTTCAATTTCTCTATCCCCTCCTCCGAAGCAGTTTCCTCAGGTGTGGCCTCATGCTGATGAAGATGATCTAGCAGCTCATCAGTGGTTAGTTCTTCATTGTCCTCCTCCACCAACTCTTCCACATCATCCCCACTAACCTCCAACCCCAAGGACTTTCCCAATGCCACAATGGATTCCTCAACTGGCATAGGATTCCCAGGGTTAGCCTCAAACCCTTCAAAATCCCTTTGGTCTACACATTCTGGCCACAGTTTCTTCCAAGCAGAGTTCAAGGTCCTCTTAGTCACTCCCTCCCAAACCTTACCTATAAGGTTTACACAACTGAGGATATTAAATTGCTCTCTCCAAAACTCTCTTAGAGTCAATTGAGTTTCTGAGGTCACTACAAAGCACCTTTCAAACAGAGCTTTTGTGTACAGTTTTTTGAAGTTTGCAATAACCTGCTGGTCCATGGGCTGCAGGAGAGGAGTCGTACTAGGAGGCAAAAACTTGACCTTAATGAAGCTTATGTCCCCACAAAGTCCCTCTGCCAAGTCTGTAGGATGACCAGGGGCACTGTCTAACACCAGGAGGCACTTAAGGTCTAATTTCTTTTCAGTTAGGTAATTTTTCACATTGGGGGCAAATGCTTGGTGTAACCAGTCATAGAAAAAGTCCCTAGTGACCCATGACTT